AACTCCACTTTCGGGAATATTCGCGTCAGATATTCGGACTGAGGTTATCGGCATACTGGAGGGTTCGCGAGGTCGAGGTCAAAGTTGCAGGACGAACACTATACCACACGACGAACGCCCACTAGTGGTTATTTCGAGGACTGTCCTCAAAGTAACCATAGCTCAATTTATCGTATGCTTAAGAAATCCGTTACTGTCCTCAAACTGGCCTTTATACATACATATATATATATATATATACTTTAGGAATGGTATTATAAAAAAACAATAATGTCAATGAAATTATGTCATACTTGTGCTATTGTATAATTCTACGTAATATATTATTACGATGGCTAACACGTTGACAAAATGATCCAACAAATTTTCCTCAGCTACAAAGTTAAACATAGTGTAATATTCAATTACGTTCTAATATCTCATTCACTTCAATTTGTATACACCACTGACGGAATCAAAACAAATAAATATAGTATCCATGGAGTAGGAAATTTGCGCGCAAATCTAGTCTCGAGCAAAAAAAAAACAACAATTACCATCATTTTTCCACAATTATCATTAAAAATGTGACCGAATTGGCAAGTACATGAAAATAGCGTATTTCCGAGGAAATTGTGGCATGAAAATACATCTGACAATGCATCGGCCAGGAAGCTAAACCCGCATGAACTCGAATTTGTTGGCCAGGAGATGAGGCTTTACCTGCATAATTCACTACGCTCAAGTCCAGAGAGAAAACCCTCCGCTGTTAGCAGCACGGTAGCCGCGAGGGTTGCGATACTGTTGACGTATACATATACAGGATGTGGTGTTGGCTCGTAACGCTGCCCTTTCCGCAGTCCCTGTTAAAACTGGCTCCCCATCGCAACGCGGAAATACGCCCAATTCCTAACAAAGCTGTGAGCAAGCTTCAGCGTTACGCCCGTACGACGTATAGAGTCCATCGTTTCAGGTGGCGTTGATGCATCACCTCTTTTCTTAGCTTGATAAATCTTAACTGCACAGGTAAATTACACCGGTTCGCAAATTCATTTGATGAAAATCAATAAATGAGTCGTTTCTCCCGTGAACTATAAAGCGAAGATGTATGCAACGACCGCAGTATATTAGGTCAATAGAGGGGAAAAATAGCAAACGGCGGTGGGGAGGGGCTGGAGTTCGACAATTAACCTCCCTTCCGCATCGAATGTGCCCGTATATTCAGTGATGCATGAAATATACGAGCATCATCGACATATATGTATCGTGCAAGAGTGACGCGCAACTTTTTCAGATGAAAATCCGAGGGCCGACCTGCATGTACATAATCACATACATCCACTCGTTGTTGATTACGCTGTAACTCCATGAGTTGCATTCAATTGAGTCCATGTAAAACGGAAATTTCGCATCTCACCGCAAAATCATCGAGACCCTCGAGCAAAAAAAAGGAGAAAACCGGCAGAGGGTGCACTGATAGAGCGAATTAGTTATTGTTAACGAATGAATTTTTGAGGAGCCTTGTTTGCCTTGACTTTCGCCATTCAAGTGAACCATTCGTTAACTATTAACGAATATTCATTTGATCATATTCAACTCGACCATTCGTTAATAGTTAACGAATCTCGTTTGGAATAAATGAATCATTCTATCAGTGTGTGCATATGAGTGAAGAAATTTTGGCCTAACGTAGCCTACTTGGAATAAGCTCTAGCATGATATAACCTCCGTAACGCGGAGCAATTTTTGCTCCCGCGAACAATGTGTCGCATTAGTGCATTGTGCGAGACTCCGGGAGCTGCTATCATGCGACGTGAGCTCGTGCTATGGGCTCGTATCGCCCGCCCGTAATCGATGCTTTTCACCGAGCCGGAGTACGGGAACTGCGTTGTGCACATGGGCGATGCCAAAGGTCGGCCAGTGCACATCTGCACTCGAGTCTTTCCCGAATTATCATCTTCATTTGAATACTCTGTCTTGCGTCAAAAAATGAACAAAATTGGAAATATTGAAAGTACGTAAAAACTCTATTAACACCTGCCAAGGGTAGTTCAATTGCCAGTGCAAAAACAATTATTGGATTACTACGTAAATACAGTCTCGCACGTCATCAAAATTATTTACCTATGCAAATGGTCAATCAATGGGCACAGCCTCGTATACATTGTCCAACGTACAGCAGGACACGCGAGGACTGTACGCATCAACGCGAGCGGGTGACCTCCCCGAGGCCATTTAACGGGCATCCGTCCTTTCCGACGGCCGTATCCATTTTTTCCCCTTCCCTTTGTACTCTCTTTTATTTTTTCGCCCCCTCCCCCCCTGTCGTTCAGTTCTGAACTACTAGCCTCGGGTCGAACAATTCCATTGCTCTTTTTCGCTAACCCATACCTGCAAATTGCCTAGTCATTTTCGAGCCGAATTCAAATAGGGATGGCACAAGCCTAGACCAGGCTTCGATCGGTGTTGCCATCATTCGTCAATCAGTATTCAGTCTATAGAGAACAAATTCAACTTTTTTCACCAATTTTTTTGTCCAGTCCTTTTTGTTCCTTTTGAAAACAGACAATGGTCTAAGTAAATAAAATTCCATGTGCCATTCATGCATAAATTCCACCTGATTCGACTCCCAGTTGCAGTGAAATTGCTTGGATAGAGCCCTCGTGTATTTTTCCCACTCGCAACAGTGACGCAGTAAAGTCCGTGGTAACAGGAAAGTTTTTAATACGATTACAAAGCGCGGTTATTAGTTTGAGTTTTGCAAAGTTTTGGTTGAATGTTGGCTTCCGCACGACTCCGTCATATGCGTGAAAATGGATGTGAATTTTTCACGGTTTTTAGGTATTTCGAATTCTCCGTTGTTTTTGAAATGTCAGTGGTGGGCATAGCAATATTCCAGCCTTTATTTCAAATTCTTCTATTCAATAAATCATTCCATTCTATTTGGGTGTCATGACTATATGCACGGAGAGAAATATTCAATAAAAATGACGTATCTTCGTAATTCCGGAGCGAAATGTGGTTGCAGGAAATTTTACGAAGCTGTTTTGTAATTTTTTTCTCAATCTCATGTGAAAAATTACGATACTGTCACTTAAATTTGCTGAATCGACTCCGCAATCGATGAGCGAATTGTGAGTTCCGTAATTTTTACTGAACATTTCTCTCTGTGTGATTATATGAAAATATTTTTACAATGAAAAAGAATAGAATGAAAAAATAGTACATAGAAGTATGGTATGCTGAAAAGAAATGCATTGGGAGTGTCCGGAAATTGCATTGGTTGACTCCTCCTTGGCGAGATCTTCAGCAGTATCATCCTCGTACAGCTCAAAGAATAGTTGTTCCCTCGGTACGGAAACGTTGCCCATGAGACGGTACCAGAAGTCCATTCTGATCGGCAGGAAGTACCTCTCCATCGAAATATCCGGCGATCTCTCCATTCCTAGTCTCATGAATCGGAAATCCTCTTGATATGGCCTCCAATCCGGTGTTAGCTGGGCGAATGGTGCTCTGTAAATAAATGAAGGAGATCACCGGATAGCATTTGATAGATTGGCTGAAGACTACCGGAAATTCACATCCAAATAGGACTATTCCATTTTTAATTCATCGACAGATTGTTTTATTTAATGCAATAGTCACCCAGTTTTAACGAATGAACTTATCATCTCCGTCATTATGTTGATCATTGTTCTATCTTCTATAGTATTGTACAGCTGTAAATCAGCTAACTGGGAGTTCAGAAAGGGGAATAAGTAGTTGATATCATCCCCATGAGATACTCCTGAAAATACAGCAATTTATTTTTCATTGCCGTTTGAAAACTCGTTCAACTTACCCGTTCTTCGTCGTATTCTATTCTCTAGAGTAGACGAGAATGTTCCTTGATACGCGAATACATATGAATAGACACTTGAATTCATTTCTTCGGCTTGAGTTTCCAACGCTTCGTAAGACCAATAATAAAATATACCGTCACCGAGCAGCTTTAATAACAATTAAAAAATTCGTAAAAGTGCTCTAATGAAAGATGAAGGAAATACCAAAAAGTTGATTACCGCTGTGATATTTTCGAATGACTCGCTCGTGTCCAGTCGAAATTCCTCAGGAAAGTAAAACTCCATCAGCTCTTTGATAAAAAGAGAAGTATTGGCGACGACTTCCTCGACTTCGAGAATGATTGGTATTGCCTCTTCGAGATTTTCGACTATAGCTTCTACCAGGGACTCATTGGATTGCAACTCTTGAATAGAGGGAAGAATAGTCTTTAATATATTGGAGAGAATGTATTATCGAATGTGGTTCATACCTAACGCCATTGCTAGACCTTCATCGGTGACGACGCCAGTGATCCAGGGAATATCTCGGAACTCTTTATTTTCTATTATCGATCTAGGATTTCTGGTGATCAAGGCGTCGTCAGACTCAGGCTCAAGTGTAGGGCCAAATGTTCCATAGGGACTGCCAAACCATTCGTTCTGTACAGTTGTGTTGAAAGAGATATAGTTAAGGACTGAAATTGATGCGACAGGTGAAATAGAAATTTAAATGTCTTACGAAGAGATCAAGCTTCTCAGTGAGTTCATGGGAATTGGAATATCTCAAACATTCCAAGATTTTGGCGTCGTCTACTATTTGCTGGATATCATCAAACAGTGCATGTGTTGTCGGAATGTAGGCTATGTCCATTATTTTGTCTCTGGTTGTGCAATTCATCGCGACAGCCACAGCGAGATACCTAATGCGTGCGAATCGGGCTGGATGCATGGCCCAGGGTGCAAGTGCTGATCCTGAGTGAGTTATGAGCCGGTGGAACAGACCCTCTGTACGGTTGGACAGAGCAAGATGGTGGGCCAGGGCTGCACCAGCACTCGCCCCACTAAGTGTCACTGAATTCTTGTTGCCACCAAAGTCCTCAATGTTGGCCTGTATCCATTGGAGTGCTTGGAAAACGTCCTTAACCCCATAATTACCCGGCGCCGCCTCGTTACCAGTACTCAGAAAACCTTGAGGCATTCCATTGAGCACGAATAAATTTTCAGAAAATGATTCTTTCAACCGTTTCTACTTACAAAATTTTGACAGGTTTCGAGGGAAAATAGAAAAAATATACATATTTTTGCTCCTGTACGCTGTTAAAAATTTCTTGACATTTCAGTCACTGTCATCTGAATTTGCGATGTCGCGAGGTTGAATTCAGTTTCAAATGAAAAGGTTCACTAAATCAGTAGCGAAGTGGCCAAACGGTTTAAGCCAATGTAGTCTTTAGTGGAGTTTTTCAGAAATATTTCTGAATCTAAGGGAGGTAGCGAAATTTTTGTAATAACCTTTTTTGTAGAGCGAATTGAATGCTACGAAAAGTGTTATGAGAAACATTTTGCTATCTCCCTTAGATTTCGAGATATTAATTGAAAACTGGCCAATAGCCAAAATCGAGTTAAACCGTTTGACCACTTCGTTACTGAAATTTCTCATTTGTCTTGAGAATTCAAGAAAATTGGGTTTTCCATGTTAAGCAATCATTGACTTTTCAATGAAAGCTTGAATTGCCAAACTGATCGTTAAAATTGAACATCACATGCAATTAAATTTTCAATAGATTGAGAATTCAGAAAAGTTGTTGCCTGAATATTCAAAATTTTCAAGGTTTCATATTCAAGAAAGTAACTGATTCGTCAATGAAGAATTCTACAGAAATTTCATGCAACTTTGTCGTTGTTGAAAATGTCAAGCTTTGTCTCTCGAAATATGAAAAGGAATTTTTCAACAGTTTAATATATTTGTATCAATATTCATTTCAGGATAGAAAAAAATTTTAAATTCACCCAAAATTCCCAGGCGATAGTTGACGGTGACAACGATAATGTCTTGATCCATCAGATAATCAGGCGCTAGTTCTGTGCTATTGTTGCTGCCAGTAACAAAAGCCTCGCCGTCAATAAACACCAAGACAGAGAGTTTGGATTCGTATGGAATCTGCAAATATCGGCAGCAGAATTAGATCCATTGTGTAAAGCCTCATACATCTATTTTTTTCAGGCGACTCCAGAGTACTTTTGTGCGGATGAATATTACATTTGCACTAGTCAACAATGAGGGAATTCATTTCACTACGAATTAATTGTCCGACATACGATCATGACATTTTTGCATCAATTGGGCTTCGCGACCTCGCTGGATCATTTACTAGATCTAGTTTTTTTTTCATATTCATTATTATTTTCAAGGTTCAAAACTTCACCTACATTTGCAATTATAAATAAGAATAAGTAATTAAATTGACTGCACGGAGAGAAATTTTCTGGAAAAATTCTAGCCGCAATCCACCGGCTGTGAAAAATCTGGTGCTGTTAAGGTAAAATTTCTTGGTATTTCTGTTAAAATTTCTGGGGATTTCTGTGCAATTTTCACAGAAATACGAGGAAAAATTCACATTTTCCCCAATAAAATTTCTAGTGCCGGGACTGGAATTTTTTCCTGGCCGTCACTTTGCGCCTCTTTTCCCGTGCCAGCACTAGAATTTATCTAAAAAATGTCTCTCCGTGTGAATAAGACTAAGTAATTAACTTGACTTACAGCAGGAACAAAAATATTCAAATAGAGACAGTCTTCTTTTCCAATAATTCGACCGTCGTCCGTTGGCTGGACACAGGGAGGTCCGTCCTCAACAGCATTATGAATTTGTTTCCAATGGCCACTCCAATTCCGGGGATTCTTCACGGGAATCGGGATTTGTGTTAGGATTTATACGAATTACTTGTCATAAAATCAATTGAGCTATACCTCGAAACGAAGCGATCCGATTGGCGGCTCTGCGTAGGGTACGCCGAGATACGCAGCAACAGCCACATTCCGTGCACTTCTGAGCCATTTGCCGCGAATAGTGCCGAATTTTGTATGAACAATTGGCTCAGTGAGAGATGCTTCTATAGAAGATATGACGAAAAATGTTGACCACAGGTACACATATTTGAACCACATATTTGGGAAATTACAGAGAATTCAAAGCTACACTACTTCGATCACTCGCAACTGCTGATGGGCAACTGCTTGTAGTGTACTGGTCATTCTGTTGTCCCATCCTCTATAATTGCCGTGAACGAATGAGCTAATGCCACACTCAAAAATACTAACAACGCTTCATTGAATAGCATATCACATAATCTGTTGATAGATATGTGTGGAATTTTTTAAATTTTTCTCATACTTATTTGCGAGTGGAATGAATGAGTTATAAATAAAAAAATAAATTGGATAATAATAGATTGTGTATCAAAAACTGAAAAAAGTAAATGAAGTAATCGAATAAGTCTGAAAATCAACATTTACGGGTCAATTTTGAATACGAATTTGAAAATTGGGCATGATTCAAGTGAATTTTCACTAGATTAGAAATTTTGGGTAGTAGTCGCTTGAAATTTCATAATTTTTCATACAGTGTTAGAAAATTACTTCAACTGAATTAATTAAAGTGAAGAAAATTAATTCAAGTGAAAATTTTTGAAATTTTTAACAATCATTCACACGAAATTTTCATGTATTTTTTTATTGAACAATGAGTTGAATTCTGGAGTATTGCAATGGGATTGCAATTTTCAGGTCCACATGATAATGAAAATTATTATAGCGCTTTTCTTGACATGTTTTTTTTTCAACTTATCCGAGTGTTTCTTTAAAACGACTTTTGTTGTTTTCAATTTCGACGTGTTTCTTGGGAAATTTCGATAAAACAATTGAACCCTATCGGGCAGGGGTGGTGGGGGGGTGAGGGGTTGGTGGTTATTTCAGTCCCCAAGAAACACGTCAAAATCCAAAACAAAAAAATTCATTTCGAAGAAATACACCCAGACAAGTTGGAAAAAAAATCGTACCAAGAAAACCCTTATTAAATAATTTGAAAATTCAAGCAACAATTTCCCTGATTTTTCAGCCCACTGAAAATTCAGTTGGATGTGATGTTTAATTTCCGCAATGCAAACCCAATTATCCTGAATTTCCAAACTGAATGAGAGATATTAACGATTTGATCTTAAATTGGGTTCAAATTCACAACATTGAGAATTCAAGTGCAACTATTGCGTAATTTTCGAAAAATTTCTAACAGTGTAATACTCATTTCGATCTGAATCTTAAGAATTTTAAGAAATTTTAAAACATCTGACAAATGAACTGATTCGCCAATAACGACAAACATTGAAATTTCATGTGAATTAGTCGTTGTCAAAGTTTCAAATTTCTCACTTGAAATGTCAACAGCAATTTTCTAACAACATCAATAATATTTTCCTCTGAAAATGAGCGACGGTCGTTGAATAGAGCCCTGCTTTCTACTGCTGAAGTTCCAGTTAGTAGTATTCACCGACTGACGGTCAGCCAGGTATAAAACATTATTAATTGAACATAAAAATCCGGATCAAATAATTGTTTGAGACATTTACATGGAATAGTTAGCGTCGATGATTGATCGTTCTCCATCATACGAGGCATATCGGATATCACGGGTCTTCAAGCCAACTTCTTAAACTTGGAGATACTCATAGACAGCAGTTGTAACTCGACTGTTCTATTGAATTCTCAAGTTTCCAGCGAGATATTTGAACATGTCCGTAAATTCTCTCCAGTATTGGACTTGCGCGAATTTCTGGAAACGTTAGCTCCTGGAATTTTCTTCATATTACTTTTGTCCCATCAAGTCATAATTCTCAAATATATATGAATGTTTATTCAGATTTATTTATATGAAATAAGCAACTGGAAATGAGGTTGAAAAACAAAAACAAGTTTCATTATTGAGATTTCTTTATCTTTATATAAAAAGGAGATGTCACACATTTATTCCCAAATGTCTGATTTTGGTGATAATTTTAGTGTTGGTGATTTCCAACGGAGTATGTATTGATTTTCGATTGAACTTTTTATGGATGTCGACGAATTTTTCAAGATCTTTTAATAGGGGAGAGTGGGGCAAAATGAAACAGTCAACACAGCAAAAACGAATGCCTGAATTTCACACATCATCTGTAGATATTTTTCAGACTCTAAAAAACGTCTGAATAAAATGAAAATTTGTCTGGATTTCAAACACGAATTAAGACGTTTGGGCACCTGTTGATCTGAAATTCAGACACATTTTTATTTTATTCAGACGTTTTTTAATGTCCGAAAAACATCTACAAAAGGTGCTGACGAGAATAATAATTTTCTATTCAGTAGAATGGAAAATTATTGAAAAGTTTTGAGGGGCGAAAATTAAAAAAAAAAATTATTGAAAAAAAAATGAAACAGCAAAATATAAAGTCCAGAAGAGACCCAGGGGGAGACCCAGAGGGGGGGAAAGGGAAATGTGATGCTGAATTTCAATCGAATAATCGTGAATAAAACAATTTGAGAAAAAAAAATTGAATAAAAAAATTTTTGTGCTTAAATTACGTCGAACAGTTGTTTTTTTGACAGTTTCATTTTGCTCACTCTCCTCTAGAAATTTCGATAGATTTCTACGGAGAATCCTTCGCTTTCTATTGTAAGTTTTCTCAGCTTTTGCTGTATCTCCCACTGATTTTGGAAATTTCCATCCCTTCCCAATAAAAAAAATTATGGATTTTCAACAGAAGTTTTAATCGCTTCCCACGATAGAAAGTCGTATACATGCAAGAACATATTGATTCCAATCAACTCAAATAATAACGTGATGAAGCACATTAAACGTACCAAATTGTCAAGCGCGCGAAGCGCCCTTTCGATCTCGTGCAGTAAAAAATTAAAGACTTCGAGTCTATACATAATCGACAAATCAAAACGCTAGAAATAATAATTAATCGGGTAGTAAGTGATTTTGTACTCTTCAACAAATATCCAAACGAGTTGTCATTGGTCTGCCACAAATCAATAATTCTCCAAATAGAATAAGAGCTGGAGAAAAAGGTCAACGAGGGAGCAAAATATCAATCAGCGCAATTTTGATTCCAATTCTAGAATCAATTGCCGCACAGGACTTCACCGAGTTTGTTGACTCGACCCGTCATCGAGTATCGTATCCATTCGGGGATTTAATTTACCTCCCGAGAGTCGAGGTGAATGATGTGTCTCGTGAACGATCGGATGGTGTGCACTGCAAACGGCACAAATTAATTCCATTTTCAGCAGCCACGCGCCCAGAAACTGCGCACTCCAATCTCAGTTTTAAAAGACTTCCTCCCTCGGTCTGCTTTATTTGGTATCACTTTGCAAATTAATCCCGAGAGAGAAAGAGAGAGAGAGAGAGAGACTACGTCAATGGCCAAATAAGCTCATGTGAATAATAATAATTAATACCATAATTCTATTTCCCACTGTCGGACCACCGCTTGAATACGGTAATGCGTCTTCATATACAGATTCTAAATGCGAAAAAGTACGATAAAATGGCTTGCAGCGGCTGCGATTTAATGAAAAATTCCATGCATCCGCGAGCGTTAACCGTACGTTCATCTCGACGAAGACCCGAGGGGGTAGTTGCGATGCCCCCACGCGCACGTGCAACGAGATGCTACGAGCGTTAGACCGAAATTAAAATGGATGAGACGTGCAGTTCTCCCTATAAATTAATGACCTCGGGCCTCCTACGAATTTTGTTGACTATTCCCTGAAGGATCAAGACGCTTTTGTAGGTTCTTTCCGATCCAATTAGTTCCTCCTCCCCCTCCCCCACTTATCGACGAATCGCGAAATTCGCCACAACTTTTCTATTGACATTCAGAGGCCTTACACCAGCGTCTTCACACGTGCGAGCATTGATCCTAGGCGTTCTCTATTTTACATCTCAGATCGAAAGCGCGCTCCGCGCGCCTGACTATTTGATGAATTTTATATGATTCATCGTGTTATTATTTAAGGTGATTGGAATCAATAGTTTCTTTTACGTATATGAATGAAAGCTTTTATTGTTTATTTTGTTTTCGATTTTTTTTTATTGCAAAGGGATGGAAATTTAGATCGAGAATCAATAGGAGATACGACGAAAGCTGTGAAAACATGCGTTAGAAAGCGAAGGATTTTTTTAGAAATCTATTGAAACTTCTATTAAGGGGAGGCGGAAGCCCTTTCTCTATATCAAATCTTAGAATTGTGTTTTCTTCTACAATTATTAATTTCTATCTATGAAACTACTTTGTCGATTAGATTATCGCATTGTTGAGTCAACGAAGTAGTTGAATGAATAAAAAATAATAATTACAGGAGACAATACAATTGTAAAAGTTGATATAGACACAGGGGTTCCGTTTCCCCTTAAAAGTCTTGGAGAAATTCGTCGAAATCCATGAAAACTTCAATTGAGAATTAATACATATTCCCTTGGAAATCACCAACACCATTATTACTATCAGTAAGAGCAACATTATCAACAAAATCAGTATCATCATCATCATGTACGCGATTTCTCTTTCAGACATTTAGGAATAAACGTGTGACATCTCCTGTTTAATTCTTCAAATACTATAATATTAATAATCTGATTTTTGCGAATAATGATGAATTAAAATTTGTTAATATGCACTGAAAGACTGATTCATTTATTCCAAACGAGATTCGTCAACTATTAACGAATGGTTCACTTGCAAAGTGAAAATCGAGTCAAACAAGGCTCCTCAAATGTGCATTTGTTAACTATTAACGAATGAATATTTGGGGAGACCAAGTATTAATAACTAATCGTTTCTATCAGTGTGGAACTGTAAATTTACCACTAAGTAAATAATTCAAATTTTCTCAAAAGGGGATTTTCGATTGCACAAATAATCGTCAATCTTCCTACCTCAATTATTGATGGCTAAAATAGTTAAAAATTTGGATCTTTGAATCGATGATACTTGAGTACTCAAAAAATTTAAGAGTGATGTTAACAAATTGATGCCAACAATATTTAACGGTAATTAAATATTACGAATTGGGCTACCCCCGTCTGCAAGCGTTGGTATGAGCTTATTATGCAGAGTTGAAACCTCAGCCTCTGGCGTATTAGAAAATTAAATATTTTTTATACATTTCTATTCATCACAATGACATAGTACCAGGGAATTATGCAAACAGCAGTCCCCAGGGTAATCGCCATCCCCAACAGTGCTTTCGTTATTTGATGGATCGCTGTGCATATGTGATATAATACTGGTTTCAGGTTAAACACGAGACTAAAGTGGGGCAATCGATTCGTGTTGCCGACTCTGACAATCACATACTAATCATTTCATATCTCGGGGAAAAAATGATCCGCATTACTAAAACAATGAAATACAATGCGAAAAGCTTTTTTTTTATTTGCGGGCGGGAGGGCACAACTAGCCGTGACGGCGGGACACTGCCACTTCTCCATAATTCCATACTGCAAAGGGAACAATCAGTTTTCTGCATGGACAAAGACAACAAATTACAAAGAACCGAGACAGAGAGGCGCGCGAGGAACGAGAGTGAAGTCGGTGAATAGAAAATCACTTTTCATACTCATAAACTCGTAGTGTTTATCTTTCATTCGTCGAGGTGGATGCCAGTATTGGTGGTTATCCGGTCTCGTCCTCTACCCCCCCATTCCTCTTTCCCTCTTTTTCTTTCTCTCTGAATCCATTCAAAATGCGAGCCCGCGAGTAGAGTGGGAAGTCTCTTGAAATATCGGTAGACACCTGCCGATAACATCTCTCGGTATAGAGACTAGAATGCAGGGCCCAGTTGGGTTGTGGTGCGTCGAGCAATCGCTACAACTATAGTTTCGCACTATACAGGAAGTTGGGAGGAAATGCAGAGAATCTCGAGCGGAATAACTAGAACATATAGTGTATCGTTTTCCGCGAGAAGATGAAAGAATTGAAATGGATGCAGATAAGCACAGAATATGAAGGATGAAATTTCATATCGATAATTTAGAAAGGATTAATCGGAAAGAGATGCGAATATTTATTCTGAGCGTTTGAGAAATTATCCAAACTCGTTTGCCGTACACTGAGAGAAAAACAAACACGTTGTCAAACAAGTCTTGTTTGGGCCAACAAAATCGCTAGTTGAAAATTGCCAAAAAAGAATTTGTTTGGCTCGAATTTGAAAGTCTCAAACATGAATAATTGTTCTGCTTTCGACAGCAACGAAATATTTGGCTCAAGAGGCGGATAATTCACACCAGACGGTGCCTTTTCAGGATGAAAATATCTCATATAGAGGAAAATTTATCAACAAATATTTCATCCCTAAGTTACAAGATTGCTATCATATCATTATTATTGTTTCATTTAAGGGTTCATTCGTTGTCTGTGATTATCAGACAGCCGAAACGAAAAACTACTATCCCTTGTTCCGCATAAAACAAAGATTTTTCGGGAGCAAAATGCGTATGGGAGTATCGAATAACGAAGGAGTAGTGCTAGAAATGGCATTTCTTGCGTGTACAGAGAATGCAATTTTTTTTGAACTACTAAATCTATTTTTGCGACAAAAATTTTCCATTCCGGCGCACTCTCTGCATGTTTGGCACAAAAAAATTATTTTTTGATAATTTTCAAAAAACTATTTTCTTGGCACAAGTAAGACTTGTTTGAGAACTTTGTCGTTTTTCTCTCAGTGTAGCCCGGACCAAATCCGAGAAATGGAGAAAAAAAAGGGGAGAATAAAACTTGGCTGGTGAGACTGAAGTAGGTACGTGACCCTCTCCCCTCCCCGCCCCGGTTCTCATGAACGTACCTTTTCTTCTACGTCCCTCCACCCTTGTATAGCAACAGCCATTGCTCAAACAACGATATGACGCATGAGAACCCTCCCTCCTGTTGCTCCCGCAGGGGTCCTCATTTTTCTTTCTTCATTTATTATGCCTGTAGGTGCTCAACTTATTTTTGTTCGAGTAGATTCAATACCGAATTTGGTGTGCGCGCAACATGCATAATCATTTTCATTAATATAATGGCCTGGGGATTCCTCAAACAATTGATAAAAACCCAATTAAATAAAAAAAAAAAAATCTAAGAGAATTAGAATTTAGAGAGAAAAAATTTCCGCTTCACCCAGCCGGGTGTTTAAAACAATTGATTTTCAATAGTAAAGTTTTTCATAGCTTTCGGTAAAAAAAAAGACTATTACAGCGCCAACGGAAAACGGTTCTCAATCTTCTTTCTCATCTTCATCGTTAGAATTTTGACATTTTGAATTGGCAGCGTAGCGACAATTTTGTGTCTAGTATAATTTCATTTTTTATCTATATAATACATCCAGTGTAACGTTTTTTGAAGTCAATGTATTCGGCGTATTGTGTCATTAGAGTTTTTATAAATGAGTATAGCATAGTTTAGAGATATTACGATAACACTGTATTATTCTATACTACATTATATAAACTCTGGATAATATACTGGATGTATGTACAATGCATTATATAATATTCACTGTTAGGATTTTTTTGAAATTTAAATAACAGATGCATTTGAATTTTCAATGACAATTTGGATTTTCAAACCTATCGCGAAAATTGAGCAACAGATTGAAAATTCAAAAGAAAATTTGCCTAATTTTTCACGTTTTTCAGTCATTTTCATTGTCGTATGAACCCGAGAACTCAAATTTCAAGAACATTGATTTATCGATAACAAGAACAATGAAAATTCCATGTGAATTATTCCTTGTTAAAAATATCAATATTTTTTACTTGAAATTTCAAGAGCAATTTTCCAATAGTGTGTTATGTACGTGACTATCATTTATAAAAAATATAATCACACAATACGCCGTCCAGATCAACTTCAAAACACTGGATTTCTCATTAAAAAATAATAATCATCATTATCCCGAAATATTCCGTTCCACTGTTACAAGTGATTATTCCCATGAACACACGGAATAGCAAATGCCAAGTTACGTTGGAATATAAGCACGTGTATATAGAAAGGAGCTCGACGGCGGGAATCGTCCCTGCACAGCGATGGAGGTACGAAAACGAGTCACACCGAGGACAATCGACGCCAGTGCCCGAGGATTGACGAGGAGCCACGAGCAAAAACGAGTTGGCAGTATTCACTATCCAGCCGTTGCCGACTACCCCTCCACTCCTTGTCCTCTGGAGTGAGAGACGATTCCATCGTGTTTAATATTTTCCTCTCGCTCCCACTCATTCCCAACGCCGAGAATATTTTCCTCTGCGTGCTTCTGCCCACTCCTCGCTCCGATATTCCCTCGGCACAAAAACCAACGGCTCTACCGCCATTTCCCCCTCCCCTGCCGCAATCAGCCAGCGGCTTTTTCTGCTTGCCCCCACCACCGCGGAGCCATACTCCTCTGTTCGTCTCCTCCCCCACCAGCCTCGACTCGTGGCAAAGTTTTAGCGTCGTTCTACTCGTGGCGTGCCTACAACTTAGCCGCATCTATTACGCGCACTTTTCATCGTCACAACGGGGATATTCCTTTCAACAATTTTTTCTTCTCCTTTACGAGCGCATTATCACTTTCCTTGCACTGCGTTACGTTTAATTGCCAAGTGAAGTTGATCGTTCCCACTATTTTGTTTTTACGTGTAAATTAAAAACAACGCGTCGTCATCGGTATTCCTTTCATTCCAGTGAATTTCTCGTTCAATATACTCGAAAATAATAAACGAATAGAGACAATACATTGTGACACATTTGAATGTCGGAATTTTTCGGAATTGAAGTGCCAACGAGAAACGTTGTTACAATTGCATCATAACCTACAAAAGTTTGGTTTGAGTGTGAGTTGACGGACGCGAATTGCGCTTTCCGCCCTGACGTCTCACTTTCTTCATTGTGTGCCTGTGTGAGTTATTCCATCGTTGTCGTCATCAGCTCGTGTCTTTCTGTTCAGTCAGTTGAGGCGTCGCTCCGACGAGTCTCGCACGCTTACCAGTACATACGTTCCTCAGTGTATATCAAGTCCCCTTTGTTTCGTTTTAAAAGCATTTGTGAAAAAATTTTAACGAGAGCTCAGCGAAAAGACTCACTCGGTGTGTCGTGGAACAGTAAAATTTGAATATTTTTTTTTCGGTAATTGTGAAACAGCACAAGTGCGAGTGTTTGATTCTGCTGGAATATCTGTTGACGCTTTTTGGTACGTATTTTATAATTTATTAACGATTATTCTTCGTCGGTTGATTTTAGACGGGAAAATTTGATTATTGAAAACAGAAAAAAGCCGGTACGTATTATACCAGCGTGGTCACAAAGGCGCATGTCTAGTGTGCCAGGCCATTCGACACGATGTTACGTTTCTACATGCGCAACCGCACACACACGCTTGAACGTGACTCAAAACGACTACACAATGAACGTAATTTTTTCTTCAAAACCACTGAGCACGTTCACCTCACCCGCTGTATTTTTCTTAACGATCTCTAGCTATTCTCAATCATCGGTATTATTCTTTTATTCACTCCTAAGATGCTTATCTGTCGAAGGAGAACATACCGATTACGATCAAAGGTGAAAATTTGGAGTGACAAGGTCGTGAACTAATGTAAATATTGGTCGTGTTACGTTTGTCAACAAATATCTCGTAATTTCGTGATGAATTTCTCTAAATAAGCCAATTGTCTTAATTTTTTGTTTCACTTTTGTGCTGGGATTTTATTTTGTCGCAGTTTTTGGCTTGAGAGCTATTTTGATGAGACGACCAGACGTTGAGACCCTCTTGTAATGTCGTTGCTCTTGTGCGGAGGCGTATGGTTAGGTGTGCCTTCACGTAAATTTACACTAGAAACCAGTCACACAGACGTAACATCGATAACACAACACGCGAAGAGTTGCGATTCGAGCATAGATTGATCGGTAACGCGTTTCGTGGAATCAATAGGGAGAGTTACACGATGAAGCTGAAACTAGCGAAAGGTTGGACAGCAGAAGATTTGTCTTAGGCGAATCTGGGGGTGTGCAAATGTTTTTAAGTAATGTACTCTTTTGCACTTGAAAAACACAAGATTTGACTCTCCTACACTTAAATATCCCCTAAATCTGGCTGAAGGCCCTCGGGCGATAGCCAGTTGCAAGTCCTCGGACTTGCAACGAATTCCGTTAAAAATCAAATAAAAAATATCCCCTAAACTGAATTTTCCGCTGACGAATATTCTGCTAGTTTCAGCTCCATAGTTACACGCAAGCCTGTCAATTGTTCAGCAAATCAATGTAGTGGAGGTTAGGTAAAACGAACACTTTTGACTTTTTTTTTAAATATTAATGAAGGGTTGAAATGTTGATAAAATTCAATCATTTTTTTTTCAATACAAAGAATAATTCTTTCCCTTTGTGATGAGCCTAAACTTAGCTCAATTGATCAATTTGTTTCTGAGTTATGAATAATTTTAAAAAAGTCTAGTGTCCGTTTTACCCCACCCTCCGCTACATCCGACCAATGCAAGTTCTCGCCGTTTTCAATTTTTCGGAAGATCAATAGAAATTCGAAATGCCCGGACAATAATATTTGATAGCCACTGTCGCACCGCAGAGAATACTTATGCATTTCTGTCTCCATGCGATTCTCCCCTTTTTCAATGACGTCTGGACACGAAAAATTGTCGCCCGAGCCGTGATCCTTTGTGACAATATTACCTAGCGTTATAAAGAACAAGGCTCGCAATTCTACCTTCAACCGGTTTTACCATACTTTTTTTGTTTGTTATACTCCAGCCCAATCCCGACTCATTCCCCTAACTCTTTGTTCTTTCATGTACGCAGTTCGCTCTTCTCTCTACTAGGGTTCTCTTTACGTGTCTGCAGTTATTCCTTCATATTCACCACGATTATTCTTTCACATCAGATAAGAATAGAATATTCCATTGGAATATTTCGGGATAGGATTTTTGGGATATGTGTCGTTTCTTATTTACGATCGATTTTTTTCTTCCATTTCAAATGAAAAAGGTGGTATAGGCTTAAAAGCTAAATGTAATAACCCGCATTTCAAAACCCCCAGTCGTGAATTGAGGCCCATTAAGACTTTCAAAGTCCATTGCCAGTAGCGAAGCGGTAGAACGTTTCAAAAGTCGATTTAGCTCGAAGCTGAATTTTTGAAGAATATTTCAGAATCTAAGAGAAACAGCGAAATTTTGTAATTGACCTTTTCGTAGCTTTCAATTCGCTCTACAAAAATTTGGCTATCTGCCTTAGATTTCGATATATTCCTCGAAAATTCAGTAGCAAAGTGGTCAAACGGGTTAAGTCGACTTAGCTCTTAGCTGAGTTTTCGAGGAATATCTCAAAATCTAAGGGAGATAGCGAAAGTTTCGTACATATCTTTTTTGAAACTCTTAATGTGCTCTACCGAAAAGGTCATAACAGAAATTTTGCTATCTGCCTTAGATTGCGAGATATTCATTGAAAACTCATGAGTAGTCAAAATCGACTTGAACCGTTTTATCGCTTCGCTACTGATATTCAGGAGCAAAAAAATCCCTTTTGAGCTCGTTCTATTTGAATACACTATTAGAAACTTACTCTTGAAATTTCGAGTAAAAAATCTTGAAATTTTTAACAGCTAATAATCGACATGGAATTTCCATTGACCTTGTTACTGATAAATCAGTCAATTGTCTTGAATATTCAATGAAACTTGATTCCTCAGGTTCATAAGACAACAAAAATTACTGAAAATCGCAAAAATTCAGGCAACTTTTCTTCAGAATTTCTAATCTTTTGAAAATTCAATGATCATTCATCATAAAAAACTCAATTTTATTGAATTTCCCAGATGAATCAGTGATTCCACAAGCAATTAAGTCTGAAACTGAATTCAAGTTCCGAATATTGAAAATTCAACTGCATCTGTTACTCAAATTTCAAAAAATGTCCACCAGTGGTTTTCAATTACACATTTGACGAGGTATCGATATTGAAAATTGTCCTCCCACTGTAGAATAATGCTCCAACTCTCAGTAGACTTATACATGAGATGAAGACGAAAGTACATGGAATGAAAACGAGCGATGAGCAAAAAGTATATGAAGGTGATTCGCGAGCAAGTGAGAACGAAGGTTAGACGTTAGGTTAGCCTTCGTTCGATAGCCGTCTGGCGTGCGTTGCGGGATATACCTGGTCTCGCCCCCCACCATGCTACTGAAATGCCTCCTCAAAGATGGGTTGTTAGGTCTTGGAAACCTTCTTTCGCCTTTGCCTGCAATTTCTCCCCCCTCAGCGTGTCCGCTCGCTGTTCCCTTCCCTTTCTGTCCGTTTCACGATTCCCCTTGCCGCCCATCTGGCTGCCAATACAAGGCGAAAGTACGTGCCAACCACGTGGAGAGTCACTAGTTGCGCATTCTCAAGGTTAAACGTTTTCTGCGTGTGGCAGTTTTGTTATTAATATTATGCTCTGAACAATTGATGAACTAATAAAAAAGGAGAGGGTGGGCAATGATTAATCCCCGAAAAAACAGACAATTGCATTTATCGACTTTTAGAAAGTGGGCTGAATTTTTTTCTCTTACGCGGTCATGGTCTGCCGGCACTGTCCCTCGTGTAACCTTGAACGACTGAAACTTGTTTTCGTGAAGAACACTGCGTTAGCCGGAGGTTTGCCATCTATGAATTTTTATTTTCTCGTAAATACCGAGAGTCGGATTATTCGGCTGCGAAAGGATCCACGCCTCTAGTCAGGTAGTTTTGGGGACTAAATTTTCCCTCAAAATCTCTCGCTCATTGGTTACAGAGGACCTGGGACCCTACATACCTAGCATTTATGGTCGTACCGAGAATAATGGCAATCCTCCTTTTTACACAATTGTCATAGGTCGAAATATGACCGTTTAGAGGGCCATTTCTCATTGCAGTGTTCAAGCGAAATGGAAAATGGCATTGCCTGTTGGGTATATTCTGAAAAACAAGGTCTCCTTTGTCATGGGATTTGCAGATACCTCAGAATTTTCCGAGACAAGCGCATCATCAATCCTCGGCAGGTGCTTTAGTCTTGGACATCTGTCGTTACATTGAAGGTTCTCATCGACTGTGTACACAGTCAATGTTGAGTTTTGTTTGGCGAAAATATATTTTTCGTTTCATTGAGAGTTTCCATTGCTTGTGACGACGCCATGTGGGACGGGATTTTTCAGTGCTCCTGTTCTCTCAGAGTCTCTCAGATGTCATGAAAATGCGTGCATGCATGCGACAGTAACCGGAAACGAGACGAGCTACTCAAATAAATGCTGCGGTCGTGTAGATGTACATTTTTTAAGGATGTTTATCGACAATCGCGAGTACTTAAGAAAAAAATTGATTTTTTTAACGGAGAGATGAAGATATTCCCTTCACTTTGATACAAATTTCAATCTAGCAACCCATGTTCACTATTTAGCAATGAAATAGACAAAATGCACGAAATGCACGCGGTAACATGCGCTTATATGGGATAGAATCATTTAAATATTTCCTCTTTTTGCCCGGGTATTACACATTACTTTCTATTTTTATTTTTATTTTTAGAGTCTTGCGGTAGGTGAATTATCAATTTGAACATAAATTTCATAAGAGCCCGTGTATAAGGAACAATTAGCTTATTCACTTCTGTCGAGACTATTGCGATTAATTTTCTTTAACGTTAGAAGATATTCCCTTCACTTTGATACAAATTCCAATCCAACCCATGTTCATTATTTAGAAATGAAATAGACAAAATGCACCAAATGCACGCGGTAACCTGCGCTTATATGGGATAGAATCATTCAAATATTTCCTCTTTTTGCCCGGGTACCCCAGATTTTTTTCTGGCCATTGGATTCAGGATGATTTTATACATTACTTTCTATTTTTAGAATCTTCTGGTAGGTGAATTATCAATTTGAACATAAATTTCATAAGAGCCCGTGTATAAGGAAAAATTAGTTTATTCATTTCTGTCGAGACTATTACGATTAATTTCCTTTAAAGTTAGAAAAGTGAGGGAGTGAGTTTTATAAGTTCTGCCGTCAGCCGAAAAAATTACATAATTTTCTTGGACTATGGAAAAAAACACATTTACCGACAATGGCTAAACATCCTTGAAATAACGTTAATGTTCTTCCCGAGAAATTATTAATTTTCCATCGATTTCTCGAGAATGGCGTTTTATCGATTTACAGGGGAAAGTAT